GTAAGTTTTGATTTTATAAAGACATGGTTATTTTGATTTCTTAAATACGTGGTTATGAATAAACGTTTTGTCTAACTTTCATCTATCCCTAATAAGGAATGAAAACAGGGGAAATTTGAGTGAAAATGCTTTTTATTCCATCCCTTCTTCTCATCTTCAAGCTGCTTCTTTATTTTCCTTTTCTCAAAATATCATGGTAAACAAATCCACGTTCTTATCTTTTCCTCCACTATATATCATCTAGTAACCAATCTACTTGTTTCTGGCATAAAATAAAATTCAAGGAAAACTCCAAAGAAATTTTATGTTACCGACATTTTCATCATGCAATGACTTCACATAGACAATCTCACTATTGGCCTTCCTTTGGTTCCAGTTGGATGATTCGATCAACCAATGTTTGGTTAATCAAGATTAAGTCACTATTGGCCTTCAATCTGGTCCTGCTTCTGCGTTTTTGATTTAGGGATCATGGTGATATGTCGTCTAGGAGCACTTAAATTCGTCCCTCACGCAGTTTGTAAGCTCCTCGAGAATATGCCAATGCCATGGGAGCTGACCTCTGTTTCGTTATACTTGCTCTTGTGATCTGCTCAAAAATTTTATACTCAGATTTTTTCTAGGTTCAGGACGTGAAGTCTTGTACCACATTACGGGAGCTATTACATTTGTGAACGAGATACCGTGGGTTGTGGAACCTATTTTTTCTATTACAACTTTAGCAATGGGTAAGCTATTTTTTCTGATACAACTTTAGTTCTCTTTACCCTTTAAAATTTACTAATCCGTGTTCTAACATTTTGGTGATCTCATTATCTGCAGTCCTCCGGCATTTCCAGTCAAAGTTCGGGTTAGTTACCAGAAGCTTTTGAAATGTTTATGTGCTGAATGAGTTGCACCATAGAGGACCTAAAGCTCAGAAGAAGAAGCACTTGTTCCGATCTCTTCCAGAGCACTAAACTGGATTGGGTTGAAGTGGGTCTGCAAGTCTGCCGGCAAGGGTATAACATGCTAAACCTGCTGATTCAGAGGAAGAGTCTGAACTACCTGCACCTTGATTATAACTTCAACCTCAAGCCTGTGAAAACTCACGTTTTGGAAACGCTTTCCATCTCTGCCGTGAGATCCTTCGGCTGACAAAACTATTTGCTATACATATAATATTTTTACTGGTAGATTAACATATAAAATTCACGTTCCTTTGATTGTTTTACGTAATTGGCCTCTTGTAAGTTTATATGACCTTTTGCTTTTCTATGTTTCGTATTTGTTATTGTC